CCCCCCCCCCCCCCCCGCTACCAAAACCTTGCCACGCAAACCCAATACAGCTTCCCATGGGTAGACTGATGCCCCAAGCAATGGCTACGTTGGAAAGGTGTCGTCCCCCCCCCCGTTTTTATTGCTGAGCATGACGTTATACAGCATGGAATTTCCCTTTGGTCAATTTGGGTCAGCTGTCACGGCTGTGTCTCTTCCCAACCTCTTGCCCACTCCCTGGGGGGTGGGGTGGGGGTGGGCAGTGTGAAAAACAGAGAAGGCCTCGATGCTGTGCAAGCACTGTTAAGCAATAGCTAAAATATCGGTGTGTTATCAACACTGTTTTGGTCACAAATGTAAAGCACAGCACCATAAGGGCTGCTATGAAGAAAATTAACTCCAGCCCAGCCAGACCCAGTACAAGGCATTAAAACCTTTTCCCAGTTGGGTTGCCAGTTCTTTCAGGCTCTTGGTGTGCTTGGGTTTCAGTTCCCAAGCCACTGGAGGATGCATCCAAACCAGGCACTGAGCCAAAGGCACCCATTCCTCATCCCATCCAGGTACTGGAGGTTCAGGAGTCACTTCCCAGGTTCCCTTGCTCTTACGCTAGAACAAGTTTCAAGATGTTTGTGCTATCCTACCTCAAGTAGGAGTACTAAACGCACTTCCTGCCAGACTCTTACCCCCAAGCGCCCACCCTCAAGATCTGCAAGATTACACTCGGGCAAACGAATTTGGCAGCTGTAGGTGGTCTCTGCATTGTGGACATTTGTTGGATGCACTACAGCTGTACAATCCTCTTTTCACAGTCCAAAGCTTCCTTCGAATCCCACTTCTGACAGCAGTTTTAGTAATGTCATTGTTTAGGTCTGGACAGACTAAATGCATGCATTGATTACTATGCAATAATTGGTTCCGTGTGAAGGAGTGTGGATATTTATTGTCCCTGTGAAAGAGTGATTATTAATGCAAAGAACACTACAAAGTTACAGGAAAAGTGGCTATCTCTACTTCCCCTTTCCTTGCTGACAGGAGCAGCAGTTGTCAGAGGTTGGGAGGAGTAGGGTGCTGAGGGTGTCTGTTCTGGCCACCACGAGCCATGGTCCCAGGCATCCCCAAAGGCAGAGTCACGATGCCCCCCTTCGGGCTGAGGTGGATGTGTTTTATGAGGTGGAGAGCACCTTCCAGATTATTTCATCTTTAGTTGTTGTTGGACTGCTCTGAACTGTCGCTCGTTGATTGGTGTAGCAAGTCGCCAGGCAAATATTCTTGTATAAGTTTAGTTCTGCTATTTCTGCCATTTCTGCCAGTTATGTGTTTTTTTATAACACCCGCTTTGTTGCGCTTCATCTAACAAAAGTTACAACCCTAACAACTACATAGCAACATACCGAAGGTCAAACAGTGGGCCTCCAACATCAGTCTAGTTATTCGAGTGATGTCAGCTCAGAAGGCCAAGACAACCAGAGGAAGGCAGAGAGCACAGGGGGCAGAGAGGGGGGCCATGGGGGCAGAGAGAAAGAGAGAGAGCGCAAGGAGGCGGGGGTGTTGCACGAGAGTGGGGGCAGGGCTGAGGGATTTTACAAGTGTAGCACTTCTCTGTCTCCTTCCTTTTTTGCCTTCAGAAATCTTTACAAGTTTTTGTTTTTTGGAAAACCTAAGTTCTAAACCCCTCAAGTTCATGCCAAGGAAAAGTTCTTAACAGCTTTGATTTAGACGTTCCAACAGTTATGGCCCTTATGAATGCCTTAATTTATACAATTAAACTCATACAAAGAAGTTGATTCTTTTTTTTTTTTAAAAGCATTCAAGACTGTTTTCTAACCAATGTGCATCATCAACAGGTTCAGTGAAAACACCAGATTTTTTCCTAGTATGACATCTATAATACCAAAAGCATACTATGAGAATTCACGCAGCATAAATTGGTACATAGCATCACTTGGTACAATGCTTTACAAGAACGAAATTAAACTTTAACATTAACCGCTATAAAAACAATGTTTCCAACTCGTACAAAGCACAGTAAAAAGCCATCCTGACACGTGTTGAAAAACTACACACTAACAGGTCAGTATGACTGGAAGAGAGTATGTTTTATAAAAATGAAGCAATTAATCAGTTTAAAAACTATTTACAATCTTTC